TCGTTCGCTACTCAGGTTAAACATATATAAGTCACTTAGGTAGATTCAAAATGTTATTGTTTGACTTTTTTAGTATTTTATTTGTTCCTGACTAAATCGGTTTGGCTGAGATTAAAGTTATAGTTTTTACACAGCTGAATAAATGTCAAGCAGACAACTGATTATCAGAAATGTGAGATGCTCGAGAATATACTCCGATGTACACACACCAGCTCACAACTATAAAGTGGTCCGATCTGTCTTTAAAAAGAGTTGTGAGCAAATTCAGCGCAGGTTGATTAGCCTTTATTGTTAAGGTTTTAATGCTAGATGTGCATTTTTCAGTAAGAAAAGAAACATTTACTTAACAAAAAGTCTGAGAAATGTAGTAACAGTATTAAAAGTAAAAACAAAAACTATAGCTTTTTTTTTTCTTTTAGGGTAAAGGGATGGACACGTACCGCAGTCTGCCACGAGACGCTGGGACCTGGGCCAATCAGAGAGAATTCCAGAGAGAGACGGCACGGTCATCGCTCAGCGCCAATCATCCCATGGTGGACCGCTGGCTGGAGAGACAGGAACAGGTAGGAGTTTATTTCTGCATGTGTATTACCAGGGCTTTCCTTCAAAGCAGTGCATTCTGTCTGTGTATTGTTCCCAAAGTGTGTGTGGAAAGTGAAGACATGAGGATTAATCAACTGTTCCGGAAGAAAGCACTGCATCTGTTAGACATTTATGGCTTTACATGACACGCACACCTGATAAGTTCAACTCTCCAGGTTAAGAGATTTACTGCCAGTTCTACCCTGAGACTACCCATCAGGCCCAGGCTCTTTGAAAGCCTGTCTGAGTGGCCTAGATCCACTCCAGAGCCCGAGCCCAGTTCTATCACTCCCCTTGGATCTCTGCAGAAAGGTTAAAAAGTGAAGAATTCCTACCATAAATCCACAATGAGCGAGCAGCTGAGGATGGGGAAATAACATAATGTTGATATAGTAAATGACATAAGCACCCGTAGTACATATGGTTTTGTTTAACTGGTTCCCGAGAACATTGCAGAGTTGGGGGATATTTTTCCCACTGGGGTCATGTATGCCATGAAGTATAACATGGAGTTTTTCGGAATATCACGATAAATACTGATGACTCGGTATGATCTGCATGTGTCCTTTGGATTATATTTGGTTTGTAAATGAACAGTTTTCAGTTTCATAGCTTCAGGATGTTTTTCTGTTGGTTGGCCTTTTAGCTTTGCACTAGTAGAACTGTTTAGCTTCGATGACTTGGGTTTAAAGTCGAGTCCTGTGTTGAAATAATGATGATCCGAAGGTTGCTCTTGTGTAATGCAGAAGATGAAACGGAAGAAAACAAAGCAGTCGATTCGGCTTTGATCCACAATCGTTGTGAAAACTGAGCGTTCATTAAAATGTTTCACTTTAATGCCCATAGTGTAAACTGAACATATCATAAAGGCTAGCATCAAAGTGTGGTTGTGGAGATGAGCTAATTTTGGGTTTGAATGCTTCACGTTTAATGGATTTAGATTCTGTGTCTCTTGGTTTGTCAGCTCTTAACGCTAACCACATGGCC